AATGAATTCACAGGGATAGGAAGCTTGGGGCAGGTTCCTACAGCCTGTCCTGCCCTATAGCATGTGCCTGGATCCCAAAGGGGCCACCCTATAGGATGTGTCTGGATCCCAAAGGAGCCGCCCTATAGGATGTGTCTGGATCCCAAAGGGCCGCCCTATAGGATGTGCCTGGATCCCAAAGGAGCTGCCCTATAGGACATGCCTGGATCCCAAAGGGCCGCCCTATAGGATGTGTCTGGATCCCAAAGGAGCCGCCCTATAGGACATGCCTGGATCCCAAAGGGCCGCCCTATAGGATGTGTCTGGATCCCAAAGGAGCCGCCCTATAGGATGTGTCTGGATCCCAAAGGAGCCGCCCTATAGGATGTGCCTGGATCCCAAAGGGGCCGCCCTATAGGATGTGCCTGGATCCCAAAGGGGCCGCATCTCACAGCTCATCCCAGGCACAGAGGGATGAGCAGCCCCTGCCCACAAACAAAGCACATTTAATGGATAAAAAGGGACATTAACGGGATATTTTCCTCTCTCTGCCCCACCCCAGTTCCCAAGGCACGGCCACTCCTCACCCCAACCCACCGGGGCCGGAGAGTTGATCACGGACACGTTGTAGCCGTACTGGAAGGAAGATCCGAATGCAGAAATCAGCGCTACCAGGGCCAGGGAAAGCGTCATTTTCTGCAGAAGGGGAAAAAAAAAACCAACACATAAACACCGTTTTAGAAGTGGGTCTGGCTGTTAGGCATTAATWACACTCAGTAAAAATAAAGAAATACCCAAAATTGCTGTGTTTCCCCCTTCCTTTTACTCTACACAAAAGCACAGTGGTTTGTTTCTCTTACAATTCAGTTTGTTCTGCTGGATATGCACACAATCATTACAGTAATTCACTCTGCGTTGCTGGTATTGATAAATCATTTGGATGATTAATTTTCTTTCRAGTTATCATTCTTAAAACACCACCCCGCAGGGAAGAAGGTTGTGTGCAATTATTCTTTTCCCACCATGCAATAACACAGGATATTGGCACAGGAAGGCTTTAAAAATAACCGATTTTGCACCAAGTGGCAAAAATCCCTTTCCTGTTCATTTTTCCTTCCTCCCACATTTTGGGATCGAGCTAATTATGGATCGAATTGATTGCCTCTGAAGCCAATTAGAACTTTTCCAAGCAGCTCAGTGAGGGTTGAGGGTTACGAGAGCCACACTTTGAGCAGAGGAGGGAAATGGGGGATCCTACACGGTGTTGTGGGCTCGCAAAAAAAACCCAAACCACTCTTTTTTTTGTTGTTTTTCCCCCCAGTTTCGCTGCTGCTCAGCCCCCGGGCTGTGTTGACAGAGCTGGGTTTTGTTTGGTCGGGTTTTATAGCTCACTAATGCATCTCATTGCTGCTGCATCAACAAAGTCATTTTTCATTTTCATCTCATTTGCTGCCGCCGTCACCAGCTYTAATGTCTGCGAGGTTTTCCATCCCAAGCCTCAGCTCGGGTCTCTCATGAGGGCTCTGTCGTTTCCCTGAGTGAACATTTGTGCAAATTTGYGCTGCTCAGAATCTCTGGCAGCTCCGCTCAGGGATCCGCAGGGTCTGGGGTGTTTTGGGGTGGAAATTGCAGGCGATCCCACACTGAGATCAGGAGGAAGCTGAGCTTTCCAGGTCCCTTTTCGAGGAGGAGATTGCTGCCAWTCTCTCATTGGTGACTGAAAGCAGCTCCCTTGGTCTCATTAACCAAATCCCAGGAGCTCCAAAGAGCCGCTGGAGTTAATTATTGACATCCAGCACTTTGGGGAAAACCTCCCGAGCAGCGCCTTGTGCAGGGTTCTACAAACACCGGGGAAAGGCAGCCCCAGCCTAAAACTGATCGGAAAGTGGGAAAAGAGGAAAGAAAACACGCAGGGGAGGGGAAAGTCGCACAGAAGTTACGGGGGGGGAGCTGCAGACAGAGGAAAAATCACAAGACTCAGCACAAACAGACAGACGGACACAAAGCAGGGTCAGGAATAGAAACATCTCTGCTCTCCGTGGATATCCCAGCCCCACAGATCATGGATATCCCAGCCCCACACATCACCGTCTTCTCCTCTTTTTACAGATACCCCAGAGCTCCAAAAGCAGGAATAGAAACATCTCTGCTCTCTGTGGATATCGCAGCCCAACAGATCACTGTCTTCTCCTCTTTTTACTGATATCCCAAAGGACTAGAAAGCAGGGTCAGGAATAGGAACATCTCTGCTCTCTCTGTGGATATCCCAGCCCCACAAATCACGGTCTTCTCCTTTTTTTACAGATATTACAGAGCTCCAAAAGCAGGAATAGAAACACCTCTGCTCTCTCTGTGATATCCCAGCCCCACAGATCATGGATATCCCAGCCTCACAGATCACCCTCTTCTCCTCTTTTTACAGATACCCCAGAGCTCCAAAAGCAGGGTCAGGAATAGGAACATCTCTGCTCTCTGTGGATATCCCAACCCCACAGATCACCGTCTTCTCCTCTTTTTACTGATATCCC